CATTGTCCTCCGCAGGCTATGACGAGGGTGGTTATAGCGCCAGTGTCTCCCTCCCCTCCTTCAAGTCCGACTATGGCCTCACTATACACCGGGGGATCGACGAGACCAAGCTAGCTGACCGAAAAGCGAACATCACGTCCTTCAACGTCCTAGGTGCAGCACTTGGTGCCCTGATAGTCCTGGATCTCAATGATCGACTCGGGCGCTTGGTGGTATGGCGCCTGGCATGCATCGTATGGGCAACGGGGACATTAATCCAAGTATTCGCATCCGGTGTATACGGACTGCTCTTGTTTAGTCGCATATGGGCCGGGTTAGGCGCGGGCGCTCTAACGGTGACTGCGCCACTGTATTTGACCGAAATAGCCCCTGCGAAGACAAGAGGTCTAGTGGTGGGGATATACATGGTATTCTTGCTGGCCTTTCTGGCCATGGGTAAGCTTTGACCCTCTATATATCATACATATTCGGCCCCCATCTGACCCATAACGCGTTATTCCCAGGGTTCTTTATCAACTATGGTGCCAGGGTCCACATGGCGACCACACGAACCCAATATCGCTTAGTTCAAGCTGTGCCTTTAATTCCTGTCGGGATTGCATATGGTCTGTCGTACCTTTGCCCCGAGACTCCGCGGTATCTCGTTTCGAAGCAGCTTCATCAGGAAGGGCTGGAGGCTTTGGCACGGCTCCGTGGCAAGGTTGTCGATGATCCCGACATCACAGAGGAATTCGCGATTATCGATGCACGGGAGCGGGAGCGAGCGACAGACTTAGCATCGGTCTCTCATTGGACTATATTAAAAGAGACGCAGATGAACCCGAATTACCGACAGCGCTTCTGGCTCCTAATCGCCATGCAAACCATTGCTCAGTGGACCGGCGGGAACGGGATCACATACTACGTAACGACCATATTTGAGGTACGTCAATTTCAAGGCGATTATCAGCCACAATAAGTAACAAAACACTAACATATGTGAAATAGTACGCCGGCGTAAACGGCGACGGAAATTCCCTCGTCTCCTCCGGCGCTTATGGGATAGTCAAACTAGTCTTCACGATGGCCTTCGCATGGGGTCTAATCGACGTCTTCGGTCGACGCCGCTGCACCCTCGTCGGACTAAGCCTACAGCTCTGCGCACACATCTACATGAGTATATACATGGGCCTGCGCCCAGGCTCTGCAGACAACAAAGACGCCTCCAACGCAGCCGTCGCCTCCGTCTTCATTTACGCCGTCGGCTGGTCCATCGGCCTCTGCACAGTGCCTTACCTGTACGGCGCGGAGATATTCCCAACGCGCATCCGCAATGTCAGCTATGCGATTAGTATGGCGCTGCACTGGTTCTTCCAATTTGCTGTTGTGCGTGTGACCCCGAATATGTTTGTCTCGCTTGATGTCTGGGGTGCTTATCTCTTCTGGGCGCTTATTTGCTTCTCCGGGCTGGTTATACTTGGTGTTTGGATGCCCGAGACGAAGGGTGTGCCTATTGAGCGGATGGGAGATTTGTTTGATGGGCCGTGGTATCTGAGGTGGCAGGCGAGGCCGGGGGAGTGGGATCTTGCTTCCCCGGCTGATGAGTCGCAGAATGTTGCATTGAAGGACGGTCGTGTTTTGTAGTCTGGCGGTTCCTCCTTGTGATCCTTCGTTTCGTTGTTTCTTTTTGGCATCCCATTGATATATTTTGCTTGTCATTTACTGATACCCCATTTGTTATCATTTGGCCCATGTTTGACATTGATAGCGGTTCGATTATTTCTGTTTTCGTGATTCCAAGCTATCCAGTCTATTTTGCATATCAACTAGAGCGTCTTCCTATAATAAAAAATCGTGGATTTAATTTCTCTTCCCAGTAATTGACAGAGGGAACATACCTTTAATGCGGTAAAGCTTGCAACGTTGCCTACATGGATGTATACATGGAAATACATGTGGTTATCATTGGCTGCTGAAGCGACATATCTACCTTGGATTGACCCTGATCTTGGTAGGTTGCTAATTGTATGTGCATTTGGGAATCACGAAAGCAGAACAGTATGTGAACAGAGAGAAGAGGGAAAAAACTAGCTTCCAAACCAAGTCCGAGTGACGTTATACAAGATCATTGAGGATGACCAACCCAGCCCTGCTCAAAGACAGGCGTCATATTCGTCGTGATCGGCTGCGCATACGAGAATGCTTCATATACCTCAGGCGCGATTTCGTAGGACCTGGGGTCATCCATCGTCATGACAGCATTTGGCATCCCGCCCAGCAAATGTGTAGGCGGCAGCTGGGGCATTTCGCCCGAGTGCGGGATCTCGTAACCTGGCCCTGTGTGCTGGAAGTTATTGTAGGTTCCCATCAGAGGCGGGGTTTCAGGGCCGGTGGTTTGAGCTTGAGTAACTATCGATGTCTGTGGTTGGTGATGCTGGCCCGGAGAGACGTGGCGGGATCGGTTACTGCCTACTGACGGGGACTGGCTGTGTTGAGGGTGGTGGAGACGAGGGTGGTGTTGAGGTGGGGATTGGTGATGCTGGTGTTCCTGTTCGGTTTTAGGAATAGGCGCGGGCATTGATCCGTGGATGTTGATTTGGAGTCTTTGAAGCTCCAGAGATATGAGGTTGAGGGCTGTTGTGATAACGGGATTCGCGGCTTTGACTCTCTCAAGGGCGAAAATGCAGAACTTGAGCTTGTCTAGGGTTCCCGGTGCGGCGTACTTTAGGGCTTGGATCTCGAGCAGGAAAATCGATGCTGCTGTGTAGATGCTGTATGCGAGAGAGAGAACGACGTGGCTGTCGCCGAATGTACGGCGGTATAGATCGAAAAGAGAAAGGATTGATGTTGCTGATGCCATGCACTGTACAAGATGGTTCGAGTCTTGTGCCTCGGGGCGGGCTTTCAACAGCTCCCGAGAGCAGAGAATTGGTCGGTGGAGAAGGATGTTGATAGTATGATATAAACAGCTAGAAGATTTTCAGTTAGCACCATGTTCCAATTTACGCAGGATTGAGCACATACTTCAAGATGACGATATGGCTGGGTGGTGAGTATGGAGGAAGATCTACTGCCGCCAATTTCAAGTAGTCAGGTAGCTCATCCCACCATTCACTTAGATTCTTGGCCTGCTCCTGAACACAATCAAAGAATTCAGAGTCCGTGCTTCGGCGGATTGGGTCGTATATGTGGATCAGAACCTGGTTCAAGATTTCCGCCAGACCGCACATCTTCATGAAACATGACGTTGAATGCGCCTGCGTCGGTGGGTAGTGAGCACCGTCAGTGAAGCCTACCCCATGAGGTGTCCATATTTCAATCTCAGCGGTGTCATCGAGAATCATGCGCGGCGGGCTAACGTGAGATTGCTGCATCGTTGGCGCCCGGCCGAAGTACAGCGAAACCACCTTATCCCAGAAATAACAACTCCAAAATAGGCGATTCCGTATTTCAATATCCTCATCACTCAGGTGAGCAGATCCTGAATATTTTCGGCTGTCGATGGAGATACCCAAGTCGTCCAGCAGCCGGAAGGCCATACCACTGTATAGCCAAGCTTGCGTTCGATTTCCACGGCCGCATTCCTGGGCACTGAGAAGGAGTAATGTCTGAATGGTCGGAATGCCTGCATAACCAACTTTGAGGGAGTCGAACACCCCTGTCAATGCACGATGGGAAAATTGTGCACCGCCGTCATAGGAGTCCAGAAGCGGACCAACCTGAGGCTCGGCTTTGCACCATCGTACCGAGTGAGAAAGAATGGCATTTAATAAGACGTCCGAGTAATACGCCCCATTGATTTTCATATCGCCTATTAGGGGAGGTTAGTGTCATATCGTCTGAAATGGCAAGGTCGGACAGACGTGTAAATGCAGGACGGTAGACAAAATTCCACAGTGGCTGGATCCAGCACCAATGCGAGTCGAGAAGATACTGGAAAGGCTCCTGCAGAAGTGTATCAGCATATGCATCCTTCAAACAATCCAATTCACCGGAGCCCATACCGGCATAGCAGCCATTTGTTCGAATGCTCTTTCCCGCCATGCGCTATTAACAAGCCGCTCTTTGCGACCCTCCAATTCCTGCGCGTAATGCGAAGTCGACGCGGTTTCATTCACCACTCCACTGGGCAGCTGGAACAAACTAGTCGGACCGTGAAATGAGACGCGACCGTCATTTTCCACATTGAGACCATCAAATGCCCGGGTGAGATCTTCGGCATCGGGATCGATTTTTATCTTCGGTCCGCTCGAGCTGGACGCAGCTAACGACGGCGATCTTGTCTTCCGCACCTCTTCCCCCTCGCCGCGCTTCGATAGAGCTTCCTCCAACTGCGCTACCCTAGCCTCAAGCTGTTTCGTGTACGATAATGTCGGGGCTCTTTGGAAGAGAAAATAATTAGCGATTGCGATAATAGAACAGCATAAAGAGGGGGAATCGACTCACAAGCTATACACACACTGCTCGTTGCGCGCGGCGCATCGCGAACATGACGGACTAGCGCCGTTACATTTAACCTGGTGAGCAGTTAGCTCGGAAATCTCGGGCTTCGTCCGAGGGGATCCGCATGCACCTTGCGTTTACGACAAGCCTCGCATGAGAAGGCGCTCTTCCGGGGGAGACTAATCTTGGGAGGCTCAGCCATTCCAAGTGTCACCTTTTCAAGGTCCCGATTCGAGATATACTCGAAAAAAAATGTCAAAAATGAGAGGAAAGGAAAAGATAAAAATAAGAGAGAAGATTTTTGGCCCCCTAACGTGGGGCGCGGGGATTAAGCCTTATGAGAATGAAATAGTACTGACGTCGAATCAGCCTGAGCTCGAGTTGGAGCAAGGGCGAAGACTTTCATTGGTGGGAGATGTTGGAGATTACCTTAGGTACCTCCCGAAGGATCTAGGCCCCACTAGAGATTATATAGGGAGGTTATATAGGGAATTTGAATTTATATAGGTTATAACAATTAGTTATGCTTCAAATGCTATTTGCATGGTATTCAATTGTATACACGATTCATAGATCCCTTATTTCTTCCCTTTCTTGGATCCCGGGCCCTTGCCCTTACCCTTGCCCTTCTTGGGGTCCTTAGCAGACTCTGCATCACCCTTGCCCTTCTTCCACCCGATATTACCATCGTGTCTCATCTGCGCATCATCAAGACGCTTCTTGTCCTTGTTGCTAAGCTTGACATTGCTCTTCTTGATATTGGGACCGTTCAACTCAACGGCACCCAGCTTGCGAGAAACCTTCTTGTCCTTCTCGGTCTCGAACCACGTCCGCTTCGGCCGCGACATGATCTCGTTACCGTGCTTCATGAGGTTCTCACCCTTGGTGAATTGCATCTCGGCTTGAGAGAACTGCTTCTCGGTCTTCTCCTCTTGCAAGATTTCGGCCACCTCGTCCGCCATATCCTCGGCCTTTTGCGCCCAGCTGTCGGCAACGGCTTGCTCAATCACACGACTGACGATCTTGGCGCCTTGGGCCTTACCTGCGCGGACGGCAAGCTTGACGACCTTCCGGTCGGGCTCGGCGGCAATCGTGCATGCACGACCAGAGCGGCCGGCACGGGCTGTACGTCCAACACGATGCAGGTAGATCTCATGGCTCTGGGGAGCCTCGTAGTTAATGACGGTTTCGACACCCTTGATATCCAGACCACGAGACGCAACGTCGGTGGCAAGAAGGTAGGCAACCTTGCCATCTCGGAAATTTTCGACGGATTTGATACGCTGCATAGGAAGTTAGCGGTTGTAGATATAGGACAAGAGTTGTTTGAACATACCTGTTCTTGGCTCAGACTACCGTGTAGCTCTGCTGCCTTCAAGCCCAATAGGCCGAAAATGATACGAACGCGGTGAGCTTCCTTCTTCTGTCGGAAGAAGATAATAACGCGCTTCGTGTAGGCTTCTTTGCACAGGTGCAGAAGGTAACCGAGACGCTTGTCCTCCCGTCCGGGACGGAGACGCACGAACTCTTGAATAAGGGTGGATACAGTGTTCTTCTTGGAATCAACCATCAAGCGCATCGGGCGGTTCATACCAACACGAATAAGCTTGTCGATTGAGTCTGTCATGGTCGCAGAGAACAGCATAGTCTGGCGAGATTTGGGAATCGTGGTAAGAATCTCGTTCAACTCATCGGCGAAACCATCCTCAAGCATACGATCGGCCTCATCGAGAACAAGAATCTCCAGGGTATCAACTGTGAAACTAGGCGAGTTGCGCATGTGATCAATGAAACGACCGGGGGTGGCGATGATAACATCGGGGCGCTTCTTGAGCACATTCTCCTGCTCACGAAGACTGAAACCACCAACCAATTGACAGAATGTGACGTCTGTGAAGGTGGCCAGTTTGACGGAAACGTTGTAACACTGAACAGCCAACTCACGGGTGGGCATCAGAACCACAACACGACTTGTAGGGACCTTCCGGGGACGGAAGAGGAGACGTTCGAGGATAGGAACAATGAAGGCAGCGGTCTTTCCTGAACCAGTCACGGCACTACCGACGATATCCTTACCTAGCAGAGCAACGGGGATCGCCTTGCGCTGGATAGGAGTCGGGTCTGTGAACCCAACTGCAGCGAGACCTCGAAGGATGGGGCGGGAAAGATTGAATTCTTGGAAAGTCATCTTTGCCATGTTGGCCTTGGTGTCAACCTTCTCTTCGGGAGCAAAGAACGCCTTGCGCTTCTCTGCTTCCTCCTCGTCCACCTCACTCTCTACATCGGACTCCCGGTCTGAGCCCATATCGTCGGGGTGATTAACGGGTGTGGCGACGGAGTCGTTGTCAGATGCAGCATCGTCATCGGAATCCTCATTCTCATCCTTGTCCTCATCGTCCTCCTCATCTTCATCCCCAGAGCCAGGCTCAGGGCCCTCAGCATCACTCTCCTCCTCGCCGTCTGCACCCATGCCGAAGGCGTCATCAGCCATGAGCTCATCATCCTCGAAGTCAACGGGCATTTCATCGCCCGACGCAGCGTCGTCTTCAGATGCGCTGGCGCTCTCTTCCTTCTCGGCAGCCTTCTTTTTCTGCTTCTTAGCAGCAGCCTCGTCCTTCTTGGCCTGCCTCCGCTCAATTATGTCATCAATATCGACAGCCTTCTTGTCTCCGGAGCGCTTCTTCTCGTTATCATCAATACCCCAGCCATCAAAGCCTTCAGTGACACCACGGTTCGCGATACCGCCAACATCGAACTCGAACTCGGGGTTCAAAACGCCGTCGTCTTCTGTTGCATCCGCTGCAGCATCATCGTCCTCCTCCTCCTCTTCCAATTCGGGTTCGGGTGCAGGCTCGGCGTTCTTCTTGTTCTTCTTGGCATTTTTTAATTGCTGCTTTTCCAGTTGCTTCTGCTTCTTGTTCTTGGGCTTGACGGCTTCGACCTCGCGCTTGCGCTTTTTGTTGTCTGATGCTAGCACATTATCGTCCTGCATCTCGTTGTCGTCATCTTCTTCTTCGAAACGGGTTTCGTTCTCGTCGTCGGAGAGCGTGAATACGAAATCATCGTCTTTGGCGGAACTCCGCTTCGCCGATTGAGGAGCCATTTTGAAGGCTGGCGCAGATTCCAGTACGTATTTGGTAGTTAGATATCTTCCACACACTCTCAAACAGTCTCAGTAGAAAATCTAAGATCCCCGAACACTGTGCAAGCAACTCAATCTCGCCGAGAAGAAATGGATCAACATGCGAAAAAAAGTTCCCCGGGCGGTGACAAGAAAATTTCTGATGACATAATCAGTCCGCTTCGACATGCCCAATTGTCAACAGCTCTACTCCAAGGCCACTCCGCTAAATATTATTCTATTCCAAGGTTATTATTAAGGAAGAATTACTATAATCATACACTTTCGATTAACCACCTACCTGTGTAGGTATTCCTTCTCCGCTTAATATCCCCCATGTGCCCTTTCAACACCTTGACCTTTTTTTGGTGAGACATCCTAGATAACTACAGACCATGTGTCTGTCAAAGTAGTCTGTCTCATTTTGTTTTCAACCTTTTTTTCCCCCCCTTTTTCTTTCAGACCTTCATTTTGGCCCTCCCACCAGATTTTCCGAAGATGAAATCCCTCCATAGTCTCCACAACATTCATTCGCAGGCCCATCAGATGTAGTTGAGTATCGCAGACTGGGTACCACTCCCCTGGGGCTGGGCTTGAGCCTGTGGTCGGCCCTTGATCCCATCCCTCGAATGTGGGGCCCCGAAGCAACGAGCCATGTACTGAAGGTCGAAACTAAGAATATGTGTTAGCAAATACGATCCAAGATGAAAGTGAAGACTAAAAACGGCACATACCTCTTGCCACTCTTCACTCTCGCATTCTCAAATACGTACTTTTCCTCAAAGCCAAACTCCCTCCCCAACCACTCCTTGATCCAGGCATACTCCTCCTGGACCTCCGGGGATGTTGCAATGGCGCAAACCATTGCTGTGAGGGAACGGCCATAGCCCGCACCGTACTGCACTGTGCCAGTTTGGTCAAACTCGTAATCCTTGCTTTGTTTAGAGGTCACATCAAAACAAGACAGGACCATATCAACAAGTGCCCGTCCAATGTGCTGCTTCTTGCTACTCTCTTGGACGAAGACATTCAGCTCACCCATGTGCTTGTCAGCGCTCTTGCCGTGTCGATGGAATTCAACATAGGCGTAGCCAACCACAGGGTCGATCTGGTTGCGACACAGGCGCTCTGGCGGACGTCGGGCAGCGACGACGAAGGGGAAGTGATTTTCTCGGCAAATTTGAAGAAGCTCCCCAATGTCATTTACTCCCATAGATCGGGTTTCACTGCTCAGAGCTGAGTTTTGAGCATACCAGTTCATTATTTCAAGGATGGAAGAAGCGTCACACTGCTCCGCGGGACGCAGATAGATGCCCGGTGGAACAACCTTCGAATCCGGTGGCAATTCTAGCCAAGCACGGTAGTCCGCAGTGCGACGCAGGTGCTCTTGGTGTTCCTGTTCCTTCTTCTTTCGTCTTTTGTTGATCTTCCCCAGGTTGTATACGTAGCCTTCCGATGTCTCGTGCCAATGCAGGCGTGTCAGCTCATCTTTCATGTCCCTAGGGGTGGGAATATGTTTGGTGTCGGGCAGAAACATAGAAGACTGTCCGTCCGGTATCGCCGTTCCGTCAAAGAAAGCAATATGATAGATGTCGACTTGGTGTCCTGCCGGAAGCTGATCCCACCAGGTGCGGAATTGCTTTCTGACACTCGCGTTGGGAAGATCAAACGATGTAATTCTATGTTTGAGTTCGTGCCATCTATCATCTCCTCCTTGGATGTCCAAATTCCAGTCATCAAGAAGAGACTGCTCCGGCTCGTAAACAGCGTTGTGGCAGTCCGATGTGAAGGAAAGGATGCCATTTTGGACGATTGGGAAGGTGCGACGAGATTTGGCGTATGCGTTTCCTTGATTTTTGCGTCGGGCATCCCACTGGATCCGAAACTCCACGTTGTTGAACCGTTTGATCGTCTTTTCGATTTCATGTTCATCGCCAGGTATACAGTCGGGTGGGTCGGCTGTTGCCCATGGCTCAGGTTCCTCGACGCCTTCGACAGTCCTGGGTTTTGCGAGCAACTGGTAGACAATGCTGTTCAAATCGACCCCAGGTCCGTCCCTCGCTGCGGGAAGCATCTCAGGGCAGGAGTGACTCTCGTTTTCCATGCCGAACAGAGGTTGCTGCACGGGCATTTTCTCTCTCCTATTTTTGTCAAACTGTTTGGTCAAATCCCAAGTTTGTGTCCAGCTCAGATTCTCTATGCTCTGTATCAGCTTGTCTCTTTCCATTTCGTCCATAGATTCGAAAACATGAAGCATGGCCGAAACTGAACTAGAGCCATTCAGGGCTATTGTCGATTTTGGCTTGTTGAACTTGTTGGACGGTTTTCGATGAACAGCATTCCTACCACGGAATGGCATAGGCATTTTGATTTCTTCTGCCATTGTGATATAAACTAGGTCACGAGGAACTGAATCAGAGGCTCTGGTAGATCTTTTCAAGTCAGCTGGGATTCTCGAACATCATTGTCATGATGCTTCTTTGGTCTATTCTTGGTCACCCTCTCGCTTTTCTTTCATGGCATGTGACATCAACAAACGAGGAAGCAGTTGCGAAGCTCTGCGAACCCACTTGGGGTAGGGCTTGCAATTGTGCCTGTTCCGCGCGCATATCACTTGGGGGTGACCTCGTGTTTGTTGCTCAAAGGATGCAGCGTAAAAATGGTTGACAGCAAGCGTACCTGAATAATCGGATGTGTTGCAGTCAGTTCCCTTCCGAGAGTTGACTGCAGAGCACGCTCAGCGTTGTGGATACTGGGAGCAAGGAAATGAAACGAACGAAGTGATGAAAGGCGGGAGAGATGAAGATGGGAGAGATGATGAGTGGAAGGGGAAAAGAGGGAGATATGGGGAAGAGGGGAGAGAAAGAGGATCATAAAGGTTGGGGGACTGGGAAGCCTCGAACGTTTCCTCTCAAAGTCATACTTTAGGTTACCTTCACAATTTCCTATTATCCGATTACACACTTATGTTCTTCCCTCTCATCCAAAGAAGCAGTTCGACAAGACTTCATTCAAATACTGCTTTGGAGTCTCGAAAGCTGGATACTGGGATATCTATCTGAGAGCTAGGAAGGTCGAAGTCGATACAAATGATCCAAGGATTTGAGGTGACGGCATGACCTCTGGTCTGTCTGCTTGCAGTATATAAATATATATATAAGGAATAGTCGGCCACTTATGCGGTCTTGTCATATCTTTTTAGTCGTCTCTTTCTTTTTTATACGTGTATTGTCCCCCTTCTCAATCTTTCTGGGTAGAGGGAAAAGGCGGCAGGAGACTTAATTTATGAAATGGACTTTTCAATATATAACCTTTGCTATATATTTATATTTACATATGTATATATCTGAGTGTTCGTATTCAGATAAAATGATCTAAAGCCTTGAATTTCGGGATAGCCTTGCTACTAGTCGATGCCGTAGCCTGGAGTCCGAGACAGTGCCCTTTAGAAAATCAAGCTAGCAAAACATACACTAACATCACATTCAGATAGACATATTTGAATAGCAAGTCACATTGTAGTAAGGGGGAAAAATATAATATCGGCCGATCCGATCAAACCCCATCTGGAGCCTGCCAGCATTTTTCCTTTTCCAACTCCCCTCCAAAAAGCACCAAGCAGGAGATATTGGCAACCATGTTGTCTATACTTCGAAAGGCCCGCTTAAAGGATAAAGAAATGCGTATATTGATGCTGTATGGACTCTGGCCGATCGTTCGGACCGATATGCTAATGATTGCAGTGGTCTTGATAATGCCGGCAAAACGACCATCGTCAAGCGAATTATGGGGGAGGATGTTACGACAGTCAGCCCGACTCTAGGATTTATTATCAAGACAATTGACTTTATGGGGTAATTTTCCACCTCGTTAATATCTCGAGCTCTGCTAACTCGGCGCAGATACAAACTCAACATATGTGAGCCAACCCAGGTTTCTGGTGGGCACCCATACTGACAGTATTAGGGGATGTTGGAGGACAAAAAACACTCCGATCCTACTGGAAAAACTATTTTGAAAAGACCGACACGCTAGTCTGGGTAGTCGATGCTACAGATCGACTCCGGGTTGACGATTGTCGACAGGAGCTCTCGGGTCTGCTTCTCGAAGAGGTACGGATGACGTCCCCACCCGCAAAATCTTGAAAGCGTCAACTGAACCCATTCCACCAGCGCCTTACGGGAGCTAGTTTACTAGTATTTTTGAATAAGACAGATGTGGAACATTGCATGAGCGAGCGGGAGGTCCGAGAAGTAGGTCAAAGTTCTTTGGAATTCGGCGAGGTCTGCCGGACTTGGCTAATGTTTTGTACAGCGTCTTGACTTGGATTCAATCAAAACCCATAAGTGGACTATCTTGCCATGCAGTGCAATGACAGGCAAAAATCTGAATGAAGGTCTGGAATGGGTGGTACAAGATGCTAAGGACCGACTGTTCCTTTATTAGTGAACTCGGGGGAAATCGGCCGGTGTCTTCTCTTGATATCCATACTTACACCAGATATCTAATACAACATATGTCAAGTGGTCTCTTTTAATTCAGATTTTGGTCTACTAATGTACTGGGTTAACCGTCATATTTAAACTAACGTGCCATCAGTCATATTCTAAAAATCATCAATATGGTGCATGTTATGCATACCATTTGTAATACTGCTTACCTGTTCTAAAGGACTATCTGGTAAATGTCCCAAGTAACAAAGGAACCAGGCTGCTCATATCCGATAGGCTAGAGTAGAAATTTACAAAGAGAAGAAAAGTAATGTTCCATCGTGTACGGAGTACAATGGATGATGGAGTTACAACCTAGCATATGCAAGGCACAAACTGATATATCCAATACTAAATGGTCACATATGACCCAACTATGAATTCACAACCCTTTTACCTAGGTAGCCCCTGAAAATAAGAAGGAAAAAAAAAGAAAAAAAAGGAAAAAAAAAAAAAAAAAACAGGAAGGAACCAGAAAGAAAGAGCAAAAAGCCCATGGAACGAGGTAAAACTGCGGGGCCCATCGCTCCACATAAATAATAAACAAAACCCTTATGGCTGATTGGGAATTAGTCTGAATAAATGCATCTATCCATGTTGATGTAGAAAATATATATAAATATATATATATTTTAATAAGGAATAAGGAAAGATAAATAGTATAAAAAAGATATAAGAAAAAAAAAAGTGATGTGTGAGCCAATGAATTTGTTGATCATCGTCAGTCCCGATCTAATTTAAACAGGGCGGAGAACACAGCCCTTCTTCCACTCTACAACTTTTTCCCCCTCATTTGTTTTATTCTAGGAGGCGTGCATGAACGCCAGGAGTCCTAGATCATGGCTGTCCCCAACGAGACTTCCGAGGATGTCAATGATTTCCTTCAGCGCATCCGAGAACTAGGCGAGCGTCGCGACAAGGAAGACGACGAGCGCACCAAGAAACTAGAGGAAGAGATCCTGCAGGGCCGGAAGGAAAGGCAAGCCCGGAGAGCCGGTACATACTTCCTCTTCCCCTTGATGCAGGCAATGTCTGCAGCCATAGCATCTGCTGCAGGTCAACAATGTGCTGATATCCGGATGACTCAAAACAGAGCGTGCACGATCACTAGCCCTTACCGACGATTCATCCACCCTCAATATCGCACGGCTGAGCGTTTCCTCTATCAGCGCCCGGTCTATTGAACCCCCAGAACACCTCGAGCCAACACCGCAAACCTCCCAAACCCCAGGACCTGAGCCACCGACTACGAGCGCCGTGGATTCGAGTCAAGATATCGAAGCCTCTGACACCGACAAGCGACGCGGATCGGTCCCGGATTTTGGAATGGATTCTCCCTCGCGGACACTGCCACCTTTGTCCCGTAGCCGAGCGGGGACTTTGTCATGGCAGCAACGCCCCTCCTCGCGGGATTTCGGTATGCCACCCGGCTCAACATCCCCAACTCGCTCCCCAACTCGCGCAAGCCACCTCAGAAATTTGTCTACGGCATCGGATGAGAATACACTATCTCGACTCCAATTTGGGTTCCCGCGGCCCTCGAAGGATGCCCCTGTGCTCCCTCCATCGCCAGACCGTGCGGCTGGGTCGTTAGCACACAGTGACAAGGAAGAACCGAGGGATATCAAAACAGACGTGGGTGTGGGGCATCAGGAGCCGGAAGTGGGTGAAGAATCAAGTACCGAACTAGATCAACTCGCGGCAGTAGAAGAGAGATCATCGTCACCTCCGAGAACCGGTTCTCGCGATAGTAACATGAGCCATCGCTTCTCTGTATCATCCGTTTCGGCCACTGGACTGGGGTCACCAGTGCACCTGTCAGAGACTCCAAAGCTCGAGCCTCGACAGAATGATTCCTCCTTTGAGGAATCCGTGTCGCCCTCTCCAACCCAGCGGCGGATGTCACCAGAGCGAACACGGTCGACCTCACCTACCAAGGGTCTGGGAGGCTTTGTTCAGAGTGCTATGATGCGAAGATCAGATAGTGTGTCAAAAAGGTGGAGTGCGCAAACTCCACAGGGGCTCGGGCGGTCAAATTCCATTGTGTCAAATCGCAGCAGTGTGGCAGGCCCAGGTTTGAGTGAAATGACCCCTCCAACTCTTGGGCGAATTGGACGTGAACCTTCAACTCTCCTGCAACGACCAGGCTCCAGTCATAGCGAGGCACCCACCGAAACAGCCGAACGACCAACCACACCGGCGGATAGAAGCAGTGTGAATTTTGAAAGTCCAGGAAAGTCATTCCGACCTGGTCACTCGCGTTCTGCTAGCTCTGCCACCGCAGAAGGTGGCGACGCTCAAAGTCCATTTGTCTCGAAAACAATGGACCCCAAGCGCTGGAGCCCCAACAAGGCTTCTTGGTTGGAAAGTGCTCTCAACCGACCAGAGCTACCACGACAAACCACCAGACCCCCCTCGCAGCCTAACTGGGCCAAAGACCGGCAATCGCGAGGTAGCGTGGATTTGGGGCGAGTAAACAATTTCAAGGAAGTCACCCCTCTCGGTTTGATGCGAACACCCCCGCCAGGAACTCAAACCAAACTACCTGGCGTCTCTGGTCCATCGCTTCCTACCAGCCCTATCAAGGATGGTGTTCCTGAGTCTCCATCAGGATTCCCTCTGAAGAAAATTGGTGTTTCTGCTCCATCACTTCCTACGAGCCCCACCAAGGATGTCGTTCCGGAGTCTCCATTAGGATTTCCTCTGAAGAAAGTCGGTGCCTCTGGTCCGTCGCTTCCTGCGAGCCCTGTGAAGGAGGCAGCTCCTGAGTCTCCGTCTGGCTTCCCATTCAAAAAGTCAAGCATCTCGGGTTCATCGGTTCACAGGAACTCTGTCTCAGATCCTCCCTCTGAATTCCCTTTCAAGAGGCCTGGTACCGCTGGAGGGTCAGTCGGCGGAAGCCCTGAAGGCAAGCTTAAAGAAACAGCACCTGAGTCTCCCTCGGGATTCCATTTCAAAAAGCCCATCAGCTCGGCTTCATCACTCCACAGGAACTCCGTCTCAGAGCCTCCGGCAGAATTCCCACTCAAGAGGCCCAGTGTCTCTAGTCCAAGCCTTGCCAAGGAGACTGTTCCTTCTTCTCCGTCGGAGTTCTCCAAGAAACCTAGTATCTCTAGTCCCTCGATCCCTGGAACGCCCGAAGCCAAATTGAAGGAGACAGTCCCACAATCTCCGTCAGTTCTCGGTAGCCCCGACGCCGGACAAACAAAAGAGGAAACCCCAGCTTCTCCATCGCCTGTCGAGGAAGCTCTCAATGCCCTATCAGGCGGCGTACCGGCGGAGGAACCCAAGTCTGCCTCTCCCGCTGAAATGGAGAATGAATCACGACAACTATCGGCATCTGAAGAGTCCGAGCCTCAATCTACTCCCACTCGCAGGATCCCTCCCGACTCGCTGAGCCCCAAACCCAACTTTTCCATTTCTACTTCCTCGCGGGGGCCAATTTCACCCAAGGTGAAGCCACAATCTCCTGTGGTGGACTTCCGAGCAAACCTACGGAAACGAGAAGTCGTCAAAGATAACGGTGATGACAAAGAACCGGAATTTAAAAATGTATTTGGACGCCTCAAAAAGACCGAAACTCGCAACTATGTTGCACCAGATGAGCTTAAGGGCAATATCCTACGAGGCAAAGCTGCTTTGAACAACACCGGCGGACCAAAGAAGACCGAGCGAGTTGATGAATTTAGGAGGAGCCTTGTAACACGGAAAGATGAAATGAAAGCCGGCGGGGGCTCCATCAGACGGAATACCGCTGGAGAGCAGGATGCGCCGCCAAAACCGACCGAGGTCGTCCCAGAAGCAATTGCTATGCGACAAAATATGACCCGGGCAAATAGCATAAAGCAGGCGCCTGTGGATGAGCCCACGTTGCCCGCTAAGAGTTTTGGTTCTCGAGGTTCACAGGAAAGACCACCATTGTCGTCCCCGAATTCATCTTTAAAAAGTATCGGTACATCGCGAGCTTCTCAGGAACTACAGCCATTGTCGCCATCTCCTGCCAACAATGAGCCCACGTTGCCCGCTAAGAGTTTTGGTTCTCGAGGTTCACAGGAAAGACCACCATTGTCGTCCCCGAATTCATCTTTCAAAAGCACAGGTACATCGCGAGCTTCTCAGGAACTACAGCCATTGTCGCCATCTCCTGCCAACGATGAGCCGGGCTGGCCCTTGAAAGATACCAGTTCTTCGCGAGCGTCTCAAGAATCCCAGCCATTGTCACCTTTCCCTGCCGATGATCCCATTGATGAGCCAGAGGCAATCCCAGCGGCGAGCGACTACAAGCAAACTCCCGAGATAGTCTCTTCAGCGGACCGGGAGGAAACCCGGGAAGACGTGGCACCAATCGAGCCCAGCGTAGTGAAGATGCAAGTGCCCTCAGTCAAGACACTCCGCCCAGTTCGCCAATGGCCACCGGCGCCTGTCGCAGAGGCTACCGTGACTCCAACCTTAACAGCTAAAAGCAAGTTGGCGGGCCGAATCAACCCTGCGCTAGCTGGCCTGCTTTCTCGTGGTGCCCCTGCCAGTGACGGACCGAAGAAGCAGCTGTCAACCCCCGTTTCAACGCAGAGTGATCCTGCTTCGCCATCTGCGCCTCTCACGCACATCACAAAGGGTCGTGCCAGAGGCCCGAAGAGACGACTTCCCCAGACAACTGATATCTCGACCCCGTCCGCTCGGGACGATACTAAGGAGGTTGGTGCTATTTCATGCTCTGAAGCCACCCCGTCCCAGACTCCTACAATCCCTGTTGAATCCTTGGACATCGATTCGGAGTGCCTGTCGCAGCCTGATGAAGACCCAGTTCCTGACATCACAAACCCCCGTTCAGACAGCCCAGTCACCGAGCAACTTCCGGAGTTGAACACTTCTCCACAAGATACCCTCGAACGCGATACGCCCCAAGCACTTCAGACCCGTTCCCTAACAACGAATTTCGACATTTTCCCTTCCGCCAACCTTGAGGCGACATCCAGGGACCCCGAAAGCCCTGAAGGGGTGAGTCCATCAAGCGGACCACCTGTCCCACCGAAGTTCGACCGTCCCGCGTCCGATCCCCCCGCGTCCCCCTTGCCTGTAACGCCAAAGCCACAATTGGGCCAGCAAAACCGGTTTGCGTCCTCATCGCCATCCCCTCTCCGAACAAGTCACAAAGAGAACCAAATGGACTCACCTATGAGTCAGCAGAAGAGCATCCCCGGTGTTGTCGTCGAGTCAGCACGCAGTTCCGTCTCACGGCCCATGAGCCATCCCTCCCCGCCAGTACCCCCCAAAGATGGCGATGTCATGCTTCCCAAGCCAACCGATCCGCGCAGACTTTCAAGGAAGATGTCTGCTCCATCACTGGTTGCGCAAGCTAGTGAGGCACGTGAGGTAATTGCGGGCTTCTTCAAGACACTCCCCGACGCTCGAAACCGGATGGACATTGATCCCCAGCTGATGTTGATGCGCAAGCCGGACGATGTAAAGATCAGGACCGTGAAGCGACAGATCTGGGAGCTCACAGGTGATGGGAGGCGCCAGGAACTTCCTTCTCACCAGGAGTACATCCTATATCAAGGCAGCATGTATCTCTGCGTGCACACATTCGAGAGCGGACGAAGTAACACCTCGGAAGTATACCTTTGGCGTGGAGACGATGTCCCCGAAGCCTCGGTAGAGAATGAACAGCCGTTCGCACGCAAGGTCGCTCGTGAGAATAGCTCTAAGTTGCAAGTCATTCGACAAGGTAAAGAGCCCACACGGTTCATCCAAGCACTTGGCGGAATTATGATCACTCGTCGGGGCTCCAGCTCTCGCCACAATTCATCGGCTCTCTACATGCTTTGTGGCCGGAAACACTTGGGCGAGATGACCTTTGATGAGGTGGACTACTCACTGCGCAACCTCTGCTCTGGTTTCCCCTACGTTGTCTCTGCTCCCTTTGGAAAGCTTTACCTATGGAAGGGCAAAGGCAGTGGCCCTGAAGAAACCGGTGCAGCCCGACTTATCGGCATGGACCTAGGTCTCACTGGAGAGTTTGAAGAGGTCACCGAGGGCGAAGAGCCGGAGGATTTCTTCGATGTCTTCGCAGGCCCCCGGGAGGCCGCGCCGCACATGTGCCAAGATCACTGGCAGCTGAAGCCGAAATACAACCACTTCCGTTCGCGACTCCTCCGGGTCGACCACGAATTGAACCCGCCAACGCGTTTCTGGAATATCCGTCGTCCGGGCGCAAGTTCACCAGTGGTCAAGGCCAACGATTGCGTTCAAGAAATCGAGCCATTCTGCTACCGAGACATCATCGAGAAAGATGTATACGTCCTGGACACCTTCTTTGAGATCTACGTGTGAGTACTACCGTATCTGAATATTCTCTAGTTGACTGACACTAATTCCGCTCTCACAGGATTATCGGCGAGCAAGCCTCACAGAAGTCTGCCGATTTCGCCTCGGCAGTGGTCTTCGCGCACGAATATGGTATCCTTGCCACATCCCTCCAGGACCGACCATTCATCCCCAAAAGTTTCGTTGCCCTCGGCGGCGTTCCTGACCGCTGCCAAAGCGCATTCCGCAAATGGAACCCACGTAATCAGCATGCGCCTTTCGTGTTCTCTCTGGATGTTGTTATCGAAGCGATTCGATCACCGGAGAATTGAGTGAGATCTTTCGATTTCTTTTTATTTATTATCTGATTTGAGGGGCTTCCACCTTGAATTTGTGCATATTTCGATTTGTACAGGCTCTATAGAGCATTTCGGAGTCCTGTGTATTTGTGCCATATTTGTGCCATAGAGGAAACTGGAGCATCTGGGGAATCTGGGGATGTAGATAGGTGGATTTCGCATTTGAGTGGTGTATTTAGGCAATGATTTTTAAGAATTCAAGTTTCATACCGTGGTTGCCTATTTATCTAGGCTTATCTTTTTTTATTATAAATTACACCTATAAAATCTATAAATTAATATAAACATAAAACATAAAACATAAAACATAAAACATCTGATTGCTCGGACATTTATAGCATTTAGGGTATAGTCCTCCGTATAAGGGCAGGGCTTTATGGACGGGAACGGACCCAGGGGGGGAGGGGGTACGGAGATAAAAAAAAAAAATCATCCGATCTGAGATGTCGCCATCCTCGATCGTTTGATTGTAAATTCCTCCTTTCTTCCATTCTACATCCTCTCCCCCGATGGCAATGTGAATATTTGAGTCATGGACCCCTCCATCCTCCGCGAGCTCTCCAAGCTCGACCCCGCGGTACCGTTCCGCTCATCGACCGATCATCTGCATCACACATGGGCCAAGACATTCTTCTCGCGCCCGGAGTTGTACATTCGCCCACAAACCATTCCAGAGATTCAACAGGTAGTGACTCTCGCTCGTCGCTGTCGTCGCCGCATCGTAACAGTTGGCAGCGGTCACTCGCCCTCCGACTTAACCTGCACCTCGTCCTGGCTCGTAAACCTCGACGACTTCAATCGCATCCTCCACGTTGACCCGTCAACCGGCTCGGTAACCGTCGAAGCAGGCATTCGATTGAGCCAGCTGGGTGCACAACTGGAGGAACATGGCCTGACACTCGAGAACCTTGGCAGCATTGACAGCCAGTCCATAGCAGGCGTCATCGCCACCGGCACCCACGGCAGCTCTCTACGCCACGGCCTGGTATCGGAATGCATCGACTCACTTGGCCTGGTACTCGCCAATGGCCAGCTGGTCCACTGCAGTCCGACAAACAACCCAGACCTGTTCCGCGCGGGGCTGGTGTCACTCGGAGCGCTCGGAATCGTCGTCGAGGTCACCTTCAAGGCGACGCCCACGTTCAATATCGCCTGGCGCCAAGAGCGGTATTCGCTACCTCGCGTGCTGGACGAATGGTCGACGGGTCTATGGACAGCGCATGAGTTCGTGCGCGTTTGGTGGCTGCCTTATGAGAAAGGCGCTATTGTCTGGCGTGCTGATAAAACCGACCTCCCGCTGCGCGCTCCCCCGAAAAGCTTCTACGGCGACGCACTAGGCTACCATATCTACCATAATCTCCTAGCCTTGTCCACGTATATCCCGCGTATCCTCCCGTGGGTCGAGTGGTTCGTCTTTGGAATGCAGTATGGCTTCCGGACTGGGTCGACCATCACCGAGGCCGTTGAGCCCGCGCGCTCAGGATTGTTGATGAACTGCCTGTATTCACAGTTTGTTAATGAATGGGCTCTCCCGCTGGAAAAAGGCCCCGAGGCCATCGGTCGGCTTTCGGCCTGGCTGCACGGCGACACGGAGACCGCGCGCATTCCCTTCTCATCCAAGGGACTATACGTGCACTGTCCGGTTGAAGTGCGAGTCTCTGATACCACGTTGAACACCAAGCCCCGCCCATTCCTCGACCCGACGAGTCGCGACGGCCCAACACTCTACCTCAACGCAACGCTTTATCGTCCATACCTCCGCGACCCACCGTGCAAAGACCGCTACTACGAGGCCTTTGAATGGCTGATGCGGGAGATGGGCGCGAAGCCGCACTGGGCGAAGAACTTCCATACATTAAACTCGCATGAGCTAGGCACCGCATACGGGTCAGACATGGAGTCGTGGATGAAAGTGCGCTCAGAGGTCGACGCGGACGGGATGTTCGTGGGCGAATGGCATCGGCGCCACCTGCCCCTGGAGCTCGGACAGGGAAGCAAAGCACCCGAGGGCGAGAGACTACCCCTCCTGGAGCGCGAGCACGAACGTCGCAGGGTGGATATGAGTGGCGTTGGGGATGGTGTCGAATGGGTAGGGGATCGCCGATGGCAGGTTCAGCCTCAGGCTCAGGTTCAGCAACACTCCTTTGATGAGTTGGATATGGAGAAGAGCCTGTACCCATTACCGCCAGATCACTCGTCTAGTCCGTCTAGGTCGACGACCAGCGAGGAGAGCTTTGATTTGCTTGTCAAGGGTGAAGCGAGCATATTGCTCCCCGATGGACCGGGGGTGTGAGAGGAGAGAAATTAGGCTCCCGTCGAAAACAAACAATGTCCTGTTTTCGGGTGAGAGAGTCCTGATTCTTCCGTTGCTTTTTTATCTGCTGATCTGTCGGTGACCGTTCTGACTGGTCCACTCCAGGGCTGTGTTGGTGCTTATTGGCCCTCAGGGCTAATTTGGTGATTTCCCGCATCACTTTCGTTTTTCTTCTCTTTTTTCCCCCCTTTCTCCTCTTATTTTGTTCCGAGCGATTTAGGATTGATGGTTGATCACATTGGGTTGACAAATCTGACATCCGAGGATGTTCAGGCTTCGAATTCCTGACGGCAACTGTCTCCCAAAAAAAAAGAGAAAATGAGGGCTTTTAGATCTCCTTCCTAGACGGAGTAGATCGCTCTGATATTGCATATTGCATTTCCCCCTGCTTTTACCCTTAGTTTCCTTTTTCCACTCCCCTTTTTTTGCATTTACCAAGACCAGGGCAGAGAAATCTTATGGCCTCGTGGTCTCTAGGCACTTGAAAATTGGAATCTGTCGGTGAACTGGTGGACTGCATGTTTAATGCAGGTGCTCATACCAATCCCTTCCATAGGGCAAGATTTGTATCTCTGCCTTTTTGCTTTTGAAAACATGCATACAGCAATCAATAGTCCATAGTCCATAGTCCATTCCATCCTTGTACACACACACACTCCGTGGCCAATATTTACATGGAACTGTTCATACCTTATTTCTGTGGAATCGGGGAGAAAGAATCACACTGTCAGTGTCTCTGTCCTTGTCCCTTGTTCCCTGTTCCATGTCTTGTCGCAGCTGAGAGACTGAAATGGTTCATGTACGGCGTACTCGACAAGCCAAACTCGACGCATTGCGCAGGTTCCCAAACAGGTCCACGGATTCCATTGCATCTCACGGTCTAGACAGCTCGGTGGCAAACCCGGGATTCAGGATTGATGTTCTGTTCAGACGATAGATATCGTAAGGGATGGGGGAAAGGAAGAAGTACAGGCAAATGTACTCCGTAGATCAGTAACACATTGTATGGTACTACAGCTCGAGCTGAGAACTGTGCCGCCTGGTATGTATACTTAGTATACACACCTCATACGTACTTACACTGCCACACAGTACAAAAGGGAAGTTGATCAATGCAAAGATCTAGCCTAGACAACTGTTCGCATTAGGGCTGCTTCTTTGGGATTTGATCATTGCACACTGGGTCTGATTCTGTGCGAGAATGCAGGCAGTACCAGGGTAAAATTGTACGAAAGAAAAGAAAAAAAAAAGAATCGAGAGTCAACTAGGTAGAAAGGTAGAAAGGGGAGAAGAAGCCCTAATAGGAAAGGGTAATATCAACCCCGCTTTCTATCAAAAAGTACATCCTATTGTCTCTGGCTTTCAGCCTCTTTTCAACTTCTTTAAACTCTTTCTCTTTCTCTTTTCAGAGGCTGAGAGAGAGCCCACCTGACAGTTGAATTATCTACATATTCTGGCATATCATGTTGTACCACGTTTCGGTGCAGCTAACAAGGATGCCTATGTCTTTCTTTTCACCGACTACGTTTTGGACTTGTTTTATTTTTATCTCGCATTGACCCCTTCATAGGTGCAGATTGACCAGGGAAGTGATTGGATATCATCTCATCACAAATCTTGATGGCCTGTCGCAATCTCCAGGCACGTGTGGTGGGGGGTTCTCTCTGACGTGCATTGTCAGCATTCGAGGGGGAAATCGTGTGACAAGAGCGTTACCTTCGGGCTTGATCCTCTCTGTCTTTTTCTGCCCAATTACTAGGGTGATCTGCCGAATTCACGGGCTTACGGCTCGGACCGTGTCATTGTACTGAATCTCTAGGTACCTAAACTGTCGCCTAAGTGCCTACATGGCCTACATGGCCTACATTCCTCACTGGGATAAACCACATGTCACCCTCGTCACCCTCGTCACCCTCGTCACCCTCGTCACCCTCGTCACCCTCGTCACCCTCGAGCGCTTTGAGCAGTCTAACAGTCTTTCCACGTCATTATAGCCAAGGGCTTCTCTGCTGATGCGGGGGACAACTTCTCTGCACCTTTGATAATCATGATATCAACGTTTGGCCCTGGCAGCTGAAAGTCCGTTTCATTATCATCCACCCCACCTGCTCGATTCTTTTCTTTTTCTTCTGTTTTTCTTTTTTACTTTGCTGGTCGAAGCTCTCTCCCTCCCTTCCTCCCTCCTCTTGAAATCTTGCTATCTCTCTTCCCTTTTTTTCCTCCACCCTTCCTACTCTTGCATTACAATATCTACCTCCCTTGCTTGGTTGCTGGTGGGGTTTCCAATATGATACCATCCACCATGTCGTGGCAGCCAAAGCTTCGCCCCAAGGGCTTCCCGCATAGCATTGACGACTTTGCGGCTGTGGCTTCGTTGTCGGAACTAGAGCATCGGGCCCGGGCTGGCGAGGACAAGCGCGATCAGCGCGTCTTCCGGGTCAAGCGTAAGCATGTTTTGAAAGCCTGTGATCGCTGTCGCGTGAAGAAGACCAAGGTATGTCAACTGATATAGCATGGAGATTGCGATTTGACTAACCCACCTTAGTGTGATGGGAAACAACCTTGCAACCGTTGCTCGGTGTACAACCACCCTTGTCTATTCCGTGAAAGAAAGGCCACACAGACCAAAGTATACTCTCGAGGGTAAGGGCATGCATAGAATCTCAAGCCACTCGTATCCTCAAAAGCTCATAGACAAACCACACAGATTTGTCGAGATGCTCGAATCCCACCATTCCCTCGTTGTAAAAGCCCTCCAGAAACTCTACAAATTCTGCATCAACAACGAAGGCTTCCCAGGCGACCCCCTCGCCGAAGCCCCAGACGGACACCCCCTAACACACGCAATCCTCGACCGGCTGGGGCTAATCCAACAAGCCGAAGAAAACGCCGACGAGCCAGACGAAGACTCAGAGGACTTGCGCTACCTACGACTGCTGTCAACTTCCACTGAATGCAGCGTCACAGCAGAGCCCTCGCCAGAGCCAACAACGCCGCCAGAGCCCTCGCCATCCATTTCTCGCCCACCATGCCCAATCCCAACGCCCATATCTGTGCCCAGCCGCACTGCCGCCACAAGCTGGCAATGGGATCTCCAGCCCGTCCAACAGACTAGCTACAGCTACCCAGACGCAGGGTACCACGACCTAATGGCACTGCAGCAACGGTCGTCTATGAGTGCGCCAGACATGAGCACTGATATCGCGCCCCATGTTGACCTCCCCTCCGCATCTTCGGGGCTACCGCATCATCCTCAACATGCCCACCACGAGCCGCCGTTCCCGTATGTCCTGGATGGATGCTGTGATTCAGGCACTACCCAGCAGGGTGTTAAGCCCGTGCTGGCAAGATTACCGCCTGGTCTCATGGCTGAGTCTCATGTTTCTCATCATCTTGATGAGAATCTGTCTGCGGGGATGATGGGTGATTTCCATTTCCAGGCACATGACTCGGCGTTTTATCCTGGGTTTACACCAGGCTGGGATTTCCCTTCGGGATAAATCTGACTTGGTATGATATGATGGACGTCTTCTCTCGTCTTCTGGAGATACAGGGCCCTTTTTTTCGGGTTGGGATTTTGGCATAAGCTGCTGAGCAGCTTCTTTTATTTCACTTCTTATCTATATTTTTTCTTGCCATTTCGTTTTCTCTTTTCTCATCCGAGTCACTCCAGCCCTCTTTTACTTTTTCTTTTACTTTTTCTTTTTCTTTTTCTTTGTGGAACCTCTTTCTATACCCCCCACATCTGAGTTTGGACTCCTCCGCCGTACGCAGGTTTATAAGATTGGAAGATGTCTGGCACATTGAGCCCTAATCTTTCTTGATCAGTCACTTTCCTTTTGGTTTTTACTTCTCGGACTCACCCAGGTCTTTCTTTGGATCGTCATTATTGATCTTGGATTTGGATTTCTTTTCGATTCAGGTATCTAGTTTGAGAGAGTATCGCCCTATCAATTTAGGTACTAGTTCTTATACGTTCATTTTTTTACAACTTTAGGTTTGGGTAGACCCTATTTTTGTATAAAAACTGGTGTGGTTACTTACAATGAGATATAGATTTAGCATGGTATTATATTACCAGCAACAGATAGATCCTACGATGGACATTTCCTAGCTTGAAAGGTCAGTCATACTTCCCAGTCATGGTCATATTCCAACAATCTCAAAGATAATAACCACAACGAGGCCCAAGGAAATGCGAAGTACTATGTACACGATACATCCCATCCCAGCTGACCTACAACTAACCCATATAACACAAGAAAACACGAAGTCTGCCTCACACCAGATCTAGATCTCACACCAAGTCATAGAGTAATACAATACATGTACGACCTGACACAGATGCATCCAGCATCAACCCAGAGAAAAAAGCCAACCGCCGCAGCAAAGGTCTAAAAAGGGTTCGGGGCGCGCAGATCAGACCAGATCAGATCGGATCGGATCGTAGATCACAGCAAGTGCGTGTGTCATATTTCCTGTTCGGGTTAAAGACTGGTGACTAGGGGTGTGTGGGGGAAGGTTGTATGTGGGACTTGACATGCGCTTCTGTGGTTGCTGAGGTTGTGTACCCTGGCGTATATACTTCGGTAGATGTACTAAGATCTCCGTAGGTGTACTATGATGTAGATGGTAATTATGTACTGATGTATACATCTAGGAGTTGGAGATATGGGTGTGATATAGGACAGGGAATAACACATGACATTGCATATAGAACACATACCAAGTTGAATACTGTATCATGCTATCTCCCTGACATTTCTGGCGGAAATTTATATTTTTCCAAGATTGTGATTTTGTAACTCTCGTCGATTATTCTCTTGTCTACAAAACATAGAGGGATACAAAGTACGCACGCACACAGATTGCAAAGAAATGACAACTCGAGGAGGAATAGGAACCGATACATCAAACAGAGAACATTGTGCAGCTTAGCTGTGTTCGTGGACCCCTAGTGTCCTGTGTCTGGGAATCTGTCTCTGGGATATTAGAGTCCTCGATAAGGATATACATAAACTGTTCATACCGCCCAACTATTCTTGTTGAATGATTCCCGCCCCCCGGTTTCTTCCGCGTGCCAAGGGTTTGGCGCCAAACCCTTGGCGCCAAGGGTTGCTCCTGCCGGCGGAGATTCGCCATTTCTATGGGAGTGTACTTTACTACCGACTAATCGTTTGTTTTATCGAGGAAACAATAAGAGCAAGGAAACACTCAGATTCTTGCTCCCTTAAAGAGGTAAACTCACCGGGCACTAATGGAGCAAGACCTTGGAAGTTTGACCAAAGCGAGGAATATTCTACAACACCCCGAATCTTGGCAATTCCGCGCTTGCAGCTACTATATGTAGTAATTCTTGGTCTCAATATGCCCCATTATTGGATGAGCCCCAATCAGAGTCCGGTGGCAATTAACACGATGTAACCGGCACAATGTCTTGGCGTCATAGCCCATCATATCTCTTCCAATGAATCGGCCAACGTGCTTGGCCACCCAGGGATGAAATCTTGGAAGTCATCGGCCAAGACTCTGGGGCATCTCCACACTGTGTTTTTCATACGAGAGTCTGAGCTCTCGCTTAAGATCTGAAGAACTACACTCCTCCCCGCACACAGAGCTTTGTTTTGTTCAACTATCCAGACAGTGATTGCCCAAAAAAAGAGTCAGACGGGCAAACAGCTCGGTAGTTATCACCACAGGATATCTACTCACCCGAGAACAAACTCCAATGCCAGATGAGAAGCACGACGTCCCACCCGACTTCCGTTCGGGTGGTAGTCCACTAAGCCAGCCGGCTCACACGCTACCTTATGAAGCCGTGATCAATCAACTCGGCACTGGGCTGGACGAGGGTCTGGCACCCGAAGAAGCGAGTCGTCGTCTGCAACAATATGGTCCCAACAAACTGGATGAAGGAGAAGGCGTGTCGTTGGTCAAGATTCTCGTGCGCCAGGTGGCCAACGCAATGATGCTAGTAAGAGCGTACTGTTCCTTGTGCTGCTATCGCGGAACTGGTTAAACGTTCTCTGAGTCTAATACAATTTGTTGGTCTCGTAGGTGTTGATCCTGGCTATGGCGGTCAGCTTTGGAATTCAGTCGTGGATTGAGGGCGGAGTAATCTGCGCTGTTATTGTCTTGAATATCATTGTTGGATTCTTTCAGGAGTACGCCGCCGAAAAAACCATGGAGTCATTGCATTCGCTGTCATCCCCGACGGGAACTGTCTCGAGAGGTGGGCAGACATTCTCGGTGCCGTCGTCGGAGATCGTGCCTGGTGACATGGTCGAGCTTAGGACGGGGGATACCGTTCCAGCGGATATTCGGTGAGTTTTCTGCCACAGTACACCTGTGATTTCGAAGGTATTGGGGGAATTTTTCCAGGTGTTAGCCGATTTACTGACACATTATCAGCCTGGTCGAAGCAGTCAACTTCGAGACTGACGAAGCCCTCCTGACTGGCGAGTCTCTTCCCGTCCAGAAGGAATGTGACTCAACATTCAAAGAGGATACTGGCCCTGGAGACCGCCTTAATATTGCCTATAGTTCTAGTACCGTCACTCGTGGTCGTGGGCGTGGTGTGGCTGTCAGTACAGGTATGTTCACCGAAATCGGATCTATTGCCCTTGCATTACGGGCCAGTGGCAGTAAGCGTCGTCAAGTCAAGCGTGGTCCCAACGGTGAGACCAAGAAGCGTTGGTACGTCCAGGCCTGGAGTCTCACCTGGGCAGATGCCGTGGGTCGATTCCTCGGTGTCAATATCGGAACGCCCTTGCAGAGGAAACTGTCAAAGCTGGCCTGTTTACTGTTTGGAATTGCCGTTGTGTTTGCCATCATTTGCATGGCTGCAAACAAATTTAGCAGCAGCACCGAAGTCATTATGTATGCTGTTGCAACCGGTATCAGTATGATTCCGGCGTGCCTAGTGGTCGTGCTTACTATCACCATGGCAGTGGGCACCAAACGCATGGTCGAGCGGAATGTAATTGTTCGCAAATTAGACTCGCTGGAGGCGCTTGGTGCTGTCACAGACGTTTGTTCCGATAAGACTGGTACATTGACCCAGGGCAAGATGGTTGT